GCCACACGATCATAGAAAGAACGGTACTACTTTTTTAACGTTAGTTATTAGCCTTTTAACCGCGCAAACCATTACCAGTGCTAAATCAAACGCCTAACTACAGTAGTTACAGTGTAAACATCGGAACTTAAACAAAAACAGTTGAATGACTGGCAGACTATCGTATTTATTAGCAAATTCTGCTAAGTTGTATCTGATAAGGAAGGATCGAACTACAAAAACGAAGTTAATGATATTCATTTTGGAAGCAACCGTATTCGCGACGCTCAAGGACAGTTTCGAAGCATCTACTGTTCGACGAATTCGTTCGGAAAGCTTCCAAATAAGCTGTATGCGCAGCATCCCCATAGTGTGATGGTACCACCGGGTCACGAACGATCAGGTGCAAAAGATTACTGATCTGAGAAAACTATTACATGAACTTAGAGAACGGCGCCTGACTTGGTTTGGCGAAAAAGGATGGAAATACATTTAAAACTTTTCTCCCTGTCCGCAAAAGCATGGTAGGACAACACAAAACATGGAAAAAAACTTCGTTGACTTACCACAGCAACGAACTTAATCTAATATCATTCGTAACTACCATTTCTAATGGTTAGACATCATAAATGCTAAATATTGTGCTGCTTAAGCTGTTAATCTCAGAGGACGATGACAAAACGATAAAACAACAATTTATTAAAACCTCAACCATAAAGCTAGTCACAGATCTGCGATCGGAAAGGAACTGCTCCCTGTACCATGCAGTAACCAATGTCTTATGGTACGTTTTGGAAAGCGGATATCACATTTGCGGTAGTGATCGCAAATAACACTAGCACAGCTGGAAGGATGACGTAAGCTGCTTAGATGAATACTGCAATATTTCTCCGCGTTCGTCACTTACGAAGCGAACACACCTTCTAGCGAAAACAATGTTCATAAACTGAAAATGGCAAACATATGGGTCAATTTCAACAAATCTTACGCGTATTAACGCGTATGATTAAATGAAGATAACATCAGAAACTAGTTTAAAAACTGATGGGGACCAAAAGAAAGGCCAGCTTGCTGGTGCATCTGCATGAAACGAAGCCCCTGCCGAAATCGCAGTCGTGTTGCAGCGGCAGCGTTTGCATACCTCAACGGCCGTAGAACGTATGCCAGTTGAAATTTCGATTTCTTGTAGAACCAGCCACACTGGATAGAGTACAAGCGAGAGGCGAGACTAAGTGCGATTGACCATCTACATATTATGATGAATCACAATGAAATCGTCCAATACTGGATCGATCTACGTCCGGGCTACCAAGGAGTGCGACGGTTATTCTGAAAGTGGCAGAGTCTTCTAAAATGTTTCATGTTTGTCTGCATATGGGACCATATGAGCACATGGCAAAATGGTGACGGGTGCGAAAGCAGCGGTGGTAGACAAAGAACAAGAATTTAATCTGCAGCTGTTACGCTGTTATGAAGCAGGGCATGGGTAACTGGAAAAGAATGCCGGAAAAAAGATGCACGAAGCCTTACCCCTCACCGATGTTGGCTACCAGCGTCTAGTGAATCTCAAACAGCACTGACAAGAACATGTTGCCAACATAACTGCAACTAGGCGAGGTCAGAACAGCGCCTGATAGTGACAAGACGGCTCAAAATATAAACAACTCAATATATCAGTCAATATTTTCCGGATATATCAGTCAATGTTTTCCGGACAAAGCTGCGGGGCGAGAGATCGAAATGGCTGATGCGACGTAAAATATTCAACAGAATAACAAAGAAAGCCTCGATAAGGTCCGGAGTAAAGAAGTCCGCCAGAGCCTTGATGTAGAGCCACCGTTCCTACAGACTTAAGTCACAGCTACGATGGTTTGGGCACGAGTTGCGAATGCCACCAGAAAGGAAGAAGATACAACAACTACTTACCCAACCGACCAGCAGAAGGCCCACGAAACGGCCAAGATTAACAAGTTACAAATATATGAAAGGAGTCCGCTCCAGACTATGGCAGTCTTCTGCCGAAGCCGCGATTCTAGCACCACATGAGGAACGCTGCAAATCCCGTCATCTTTCGCCAAATAAAAGAAGCGGTTAAGGAAGATGAAGATGACAAAGACAAAATCGCTTCGGTAGATAATAATTCGGAAGTTTAAACGGTTAGAAGAAGCTAGAAGACGTACCCCTCCAATCACAGGCAAGAATCAGCAGCTTCGATATATCACTCAAGCTAACAGTGCCATAGGATACAGACAAGCAATTCGGACTTCATACATGATGTGATATACGCGACAGTTACGTGATAACGAAGAAACTTGTCTCAGAAATATGTACAAAAATCTGAGAAAACAGGAGCTACCATGGTTAAAAAGAATCAAGAGGAAACAGGAAGCAATATGCAGAGAAGTAAACCAACTATA